CTAATCCAGGTAACTCTGGAACTAATCCAGGTAACTCTGGACGTAGACGACGTAACACTGCAGATATTCTAAGTAATTCCAATGTTTCTGGAGGTACTTCAGTATCAGGAAATAATGACCCAGTTGATTCTCTGTGGAATGCTCATAATTGTGAGGAAAAACTGCATTTTATCTGCTATTAGCTCTAACATCTTTTCAAGAATGAGTTAAAATAACTTTTGAGTTTCTGTTGAGGTTAATATTTATTTATATTTGTCTTTCATTTAGAACCTGCCTGTTTTTGTGTCTATCAGAAAATAATTCTGTTTGATAAGAAAGAATTCTATTCTTTTCTGGAGTTTAGAGGAAATTTTCAACGTCATTCATTGTCAGAAATCTTCAAACTTAGTTTGAATTTGATTGTGTGGCTTTCAACTTTTCAATGAAAATTAGATTTTTTACTGTAAGAAATGTTTGTTTAAATGTAATCGTATTATCCTGCTAGCAAAAGAGTTTAGTATTTTTGCTTAATTGGTTTTGTAAAATTGAATAATTGCCAAATCAAGTCTGTGAAAATTAACTATAATCAATCTAAACCTTTTATTACTATAATTGATTTTGCTGTTTTTGGTTCTTAAATCCTTTAAATATGCTTTCATGTATTAGAGACCAGGTATGCAAAATAGCAGCTGGCTATTTGGCCTATCAAAATGGCATGATGTTGTTTGTTCTGTCTCAATTAAATAAACATTGTCTCAAAAACACCAAATTGTATTTTTTATATTTTTTTATTTTAAAGCTCAAATAGACAGGAGCTGATGAAGAATTAAACTTTAAATCCTAACTCAACGAGTCACAATAAAATTCTTACCACTGGCTTCAAAAGAGGGACTGTTGCCATGCCTTCCAGCATCATCTTCCTGAAAAGCTTCCCGGTAACTGTGCATAGGACCCTAGAGAAAAGTAGTCAATTGAAGTTAGCAATGCCTTCATTTGTAATCATGAAAAAACTAACACACATAATGTAAACTAATTTAGAATAGGACGTTAAAAGTCTGTGTGTCCGTCTTTATATCTATCTATATAAGCACATATAACTTTTATCTTCCTTCTCTAATGCTATTTTCCCTCTTCAGACGTATTCAACTCTATACATCTTCCTCCCGGGTTCATCAGGCTTATTAATTCCTCTCCCTTTAAAGACAGAATAAATGTCCTTTCTAACCTTAAGCAAAATGGATATCAATTGAAAAGATACCAAGTATTAATTATCCACAATGTCAACACACAATGAAACTAAAGAAAAAAAAAGTTTTGGTTCGAGAAAAGTTAATTTCTATACTAATACAAACATTGCTGTGTGACTCTAGTAACATCTACTACCCTTGCATATTTAGGAACATATTTGTAGGAAGATTTGCTTGTCGTAGCAAAATGTCTGGGCAAATGAGTCAGTGGAGTAGGAAACATTAGAAAGCAGATATTTGTGGTTTATGTTACTGGAAGCTTTAACCGGCCTTATACCTCCACATTGCCTTTTAAATCAATAGGTTTGTTAATAGCTACATTGTATTTTACAAATTTCCCACATAATGGATTCTATTTCTCTAACAATATTGAAGGTTTCTATTGGAAAGATAAAGTCTCCAAGAAGTTAGACGAAGAAGTTAGAAGAGGTTACACACAGAAAAAGGGAGTGTCATAGGCAAAATGCTAGTGCCATAGGCTTTCTTAAGATTTGCATATCACACTCCTTGCTGTGATTTCCCTTGCGTCAGGTATTTCCCTCCAGGTAATGAAGACAGCAACTTAAACCTTTGTCAATTGCTGTTCAGCAGTTAAACACCTTGCTAACAATTACCGGCCACTTCAACTTCTTCCAGTCAGATTTCAGTGCTCATCACAGCCTTCATTAGTATATTGCTCTCTCCATTCTATTATATATGGCATCAGAATTCTGCCAAAAGTCCACACAAGCAATAAATACTCCTGCAAGCAGCTTTACTTCATATAGATGCACATGAACTCTTCCTCATGGCCATGTTTAACAGGTTATATGTGCAAATTATACAACGGGGCCCAAATATATCACATACATAAGAACTTAAACCTTCCCTGCATATATGATGCATAGCCTAACTCCTCTATGCCTGTGGACTTGTTTCTCTGTGCTTAATTCAACTTTTGTCACTTTGAAGGTATTACCCACTGGACAAGGCTACCAACCTGGGATTGGATACTTTTCAGGAAATTCCGCCTCTTGAGGCTCAACTCTACAAGGCTTGTCTTCAAGAGTTGGAAGTTGGTAAACAAAGTCATCATTAGATATAACATCGTTTGGATAAATATTGGATTCTGACTGGCTGTATGGTGTCTGTTAAAAAGGGTTATAGGACATCTACAAAAAAAGTTCAGGATTTCCTGAAAACTAGCCATTCACAGGGAGGTTACTTTGTCCTGTTGTAAGTTGACATGAGCGCACAAAAACAGGTCCATGGGTGTTGATATTAAACCACACGCGAGCAGAAAAGGAACAAGTACTCGTGTGGGGGATTACTGGGACTCTATATTTGCATGTAACATGTAAATCATGCATGTGGGGAGCAGTTTACGAGCATCTGTATGAAGTAAAGCTGCTTGTAGGAGTACTTATTGTGTGTGTGGACTTTTGACAGAACCCTGACGCCATAATTAGAGGGTCTGGAAACTAGCTTAGCCTTTTAGGTACAGCAATTGACTGGTTTAAAGCCTACTTAAAACAAATTTGAAAAGAATCCATTTTAAAAAATAAACTGTAAAACAAATTAAACCATTAAATAAATAAAACAATCTGCGAAAACCGCAAAGCATCAAAACCTGTGTTGGAGTTAATATGATTTCTGTTGTTTTTATCATTTAAATCATTTATATGTTTTATATTG